GAAAGACAGACATCCAACAAGAGTTCCGCAAGTCATTGGAAATTTGACTGAAGCACAACTGACATCCATGCAGGACGACTTTGAGAAGGTCATCGCCGACTACCAGGTCTCATCCAACAAACGCATCAAGCGCATCGCGAACGAGATGGTGATGCTGGGCACGGCCCATTGATGGTCTACATCCAAAGCCGTGCAGCAAATCGGGAGAGAAACTCTTCTCGGACCAAGAAGTTCCTCAAGAGCAAGAAGCAGGAGACAGCATGGAAGCCATGGAACCAATACTCGTACGGCGATCAGGGATGGAAGAATTTCAGCGATTCGACCTGGAGAGATTTCAAATACGGCAGTCAATCTGACAGCAGCTATCATTGGTACAACAAGAAATGATGAGCTATTGCGACTGCCTCCTTTGGCAACCATCCAGACCTCCTTTGGTCTTCATGATTTGCCTGGAATAAGATTCTCAGAAGCTCGAGTTCACACGAAAACTGGCACTACGAATCACGACCAATTGATCCTCCTCGGTGACAAGATCTATTTCAGTGAGATATCAATAGTTTCACATCGATCCCGAAGCGCCTTGCGCCCTCTTTTGATACAGCTAGGTATTTCACATCAGGAGTACAAACCGTTTTCCAGTTGTCACCCTTTTCATCCGTGCAGCAAAAAGGATGAATCAAGTAATTGAATGGCCACGGCATAAAACAAAGGCTACGGCTGAAGGCCAAGAGCCGGAAATTACACAGTAATTCAGCGCTGGAGATCAAATGAAATTTGTGTCTGCTTTGTGGTGGATTTAGACCTTGATCTCCATGCAACCATTTGGCTCAAGACCCTTCCTTGTACAAATTGCACCATTCATGCGATAGCTACGTAAAAGGACTTCTTGCGGGCTGCTTACAATGAAACACAATAATCAGAGCCACCAGGGACTATCCATTCTCTTACACTCCATATTGACATATTGGATTTCCTGCGGAAGAGAGCCAAGAACCACACATACGATCCTCTACTACCACAAGGTATCCGTTCCTTGGGGGTAAGATACACCCAAGTGGGACTCACCACCCACCCCCCCCCCCCGCGCGCCCTTTTGGATGGCCGCTTGCAGACTTCCTCCGGGCCTGCTACCCACAATCTGTGTGTTTGACCGCTTCTCTTTGTGTCGGGGGGTTTGTTCATGGGTCAAGAAACAACATGCCCCTTGTGGACTGCGGGCTTTGCCCCGGCCGCTCTGAGTCACTACTGCGTTTGGCCTCTCAAATGCAGCGCCTACCGCCGGTCAGCCAGGCATCTCTGGCCTCGCAGGGGGAAAACATCAACAACTCCGTGTCCCGCAGCTTTGCAAAAAAGGGACCGAGCTGGTGCAATCAGTATATTCTGTGCTGCAGTTGCTTCATTTGCTTCATTCCTCAGGGCGCAACATGCATCCTAACTCTACTCAGGGCAACGCGGCAACCCCGGCAGGCGCCTCACTGCCCTGCCCTGGGACCTGCCAATTGGCACTGACAGAATGGACGTCAGCTGGCAGAAGCAAAGCCGAGGACAATGACACGAATGGTGAAAACATATCCATAAGGATTCATTCTGAGAATGCAACAAACCGCTCGCTCTGCAGTTTGCATATCGACTTGAACCGGGGGAACTCCGGCAAGCTGGCGACAGCTTCTGGAAAGCCTGGCCTGCAGCTGCTAGTTGTCCTCGACTTGGACTTCGGCAACAGTGCTCTCATCAACCTGCTGACACGCCTCCGGGCGCACTTTTGTTGGGTCAAAGCCGGGTAGAAAGGGGGGTGAAGTACCATCCAAGCACTGTCTTCCCTTAAAAAGCGCTTCAACAATACAGACTAGTTTTGGAGTCTTGGAGCAAACATTCCATTAAACGGGATGACATGTTGACACCTTCCTCCTAGCCGCCGCCATTTCGCCTGAACAGCCCCTCTTCGGCCTCTTTCAGCGAGAAAAAAAGAGTGTTCCTGCCTCCGTCTCCTCCTTCGAAGGCTCCTTGGGCTGCGGCTCCTTTGCCTGCTCTTGGCCCAGGCTAAAGCGCACTTTTCGGGCCAGGCCCATGCCCATTTCCGCCAGCCTCGGGCACCGAGCTCTGCGCATTGCCTTGCCGTGCCTTACATGCCTTGTCCTCAATGAACGCCATCCAAACAAAGCATGCAAAAGCACCAGGAATGAACAACACACGCACACACCAACAAACACACACACACAACACACACAACACACAACACACAACACACAACACACACAACACACAACACACAACACACAACACACACACACACACACACGCACCCAACACTCACACACACACATACACACATACACACATACACACATACACACAGACACACACCACATGCACAGACACACAGACACACAGACACGCAGACACACAGACACACAGACACACAGACACACAGACACACAAACACACAGACACACAGACACACAAACACACAAACACACAAACACACAAACACACAAACACACAAAAAAACAAAAACACAAAAACACAAACACCCAACAACACAAAAACACAAAAAACAAAAACACAAACACACAAACACACAAACACAGAAACACAGAAACACAGAAACACAGAAACACAGAAACACAGAAACACAGAAACACAAACACACAAACACACAAACACACAAACACACAAACACACAAACACACAAACACACAAACACACAAACACACAAACACACAAACACACAAACACACAACACACAAACACACAAACACACAACACACAAACACACAACACACACAAACACAACAAACACACAAACACACACACACACACACGAAACACAGAAACACAAACACAGAAACACAGAACACACAGAAACACCAAACACAGAAACACAGAAACACAGAAACACAGAAACACAGAAACACAGAAACACACAGAAACACAGAAACACAGAAACACAGAAACACAGAAACACAGAAACACAGAAACACAGAAACACAGAAACACAGAAACACAGAAAACACAGAAACACAGAAACACAGAACAGAAACACACACACACACACACACACACACACACACACACACACACACACACACACACACACACACACACACACACACACACACACACACACACACACACACACACACACACACACACACACACGCACACACACACCCACACCCACACACACACACACACACACACACACACACACACACACACACACACACACACACACACACACACACACACACACACACACACACACACACACGCACACACACACACACACACACACACACACACACACACACACACACACACACACACACACAACACCACACACACACACACACACACACACACACACACACACACACACACACACACACACACACACACACACACACACACACACACACACACACACACACACACACACACACACACACACACACACACACACACACACACACACACACGCACGCACGCACGCACGCACGCACGCGCGCACGCGCGCACGCACGCGCGCACGCGCACACGCGCCCACGCGCGCACGCGCGCACGCGCGCACGCGCGCACGCGCACACGCGCACACTCGCACACACGCACACGCACACGCACACGCACACGCGCACGCGCACGCGCACGCGCAGGCGCACGCACACGCACACGCACACGCGCACACGCACACGCGCACGCACACGCGCACGCACGCACGCACAGACACGCACAGACACACGCACAGACACACGCACGCACGCACGCACAGACACGCACAGACACACGCACAGACACACGCACAGACACACGCACAGACACACGCGCAGACAGATGCACAGACAGACGCACAGACAGACGCACAGACAGACGCGCAGACAGACGCACAGACAGACGCACAGACAGACGCACAGACAGACGCACAGACAGACGCACAGACAGACGCACAGACAGACGCACAGACAGACGCACAGACAGACACACAGACAGACACACACACACACACAGACAGACACACACACACAGAGACAGACACACACACAGACAGACACACACACAGACAGACACACACACACACAGACAGACGCAGACACAGACAGACACACACACAAACAGACACACACACACAGACAGACAGACACACAGACAGACAGACACACAGACAGACACACAGACAGACACACAGACAGACACATGGGCGGGGCAGAAGGCACCCGCACCCACACCCACACCCACACACACACACCAGTATATACACACACCGACACACACACACACACCCACTCACACACACTCTCCAACGTGTCAGCGCCGTTCCACATGTTCACACTAGTGCCTGGCTTGTCGTGACAAACCTTCCTTACACCGGCTAGGCCCAACTGAAAAGCAGCCTGGCCAACTGAGGCTGGAACTCGGGCCGCTTGACGCGAAGGGCCTGTTTGCGGGCCAGCGGTCGGGTGGTTCTTGCTGACTATGAACAAGAATAGCCAACATGCAAAAAAACAACATGTGCCCTGGGGTGAACGTGGATGGCACAGTTCCCTTCATGTTGGTAAGGCAAGAAGGGCAAGGGAATCTACATGCTTTTTCGGGGAGACTTGTCTACTTTCACAGTTTAGGGTGGTGTAGGCCTGCTCTTTTTCTTGCTTGTTCCAATGCTGGTCGCATCCTACTCTATGGCTAAGGCCTGGGCCTTGCGCACAAATGAGGGGCACAGCCACTGGCCAGCTATTCCGAGGACAGCTGGACGATTCATGACTGAAAATGAGTAGACAAGTGGACGTGCAATCAATTATTTCATGCAAAGGCAGTGCTGGGCGATCAGATGCGGAGCCAATAGCGAAATCCATGGGACTGGCCTAACCGTCCTAACCTTGAATCCAACATGAAACCAACCGAGCGGAACCATAATCCAGCTCTCAACTTCACCCAATCTGCCACATGGCACACACGTGGCTGTCAAACCTCGTCCGTCGCCCTCTTAACTTGCAGCCAGGCGGCAATTAGGATAACCACCACCAGCACAATGGCCCAGCCGAAGCAGGGCAGGAGCCAACTACGGCCAGAGCCCCCCGCTTGCACGGGGCCCGGCGCGCCCGCCGCCGTGGCCGCTGCAGCCGTGGCCGCTGGGGCAGCTGTGGCGGTCGCCGCGGCCGCTGTGGTCCTCTGAGGCCCGCGGGCTGCTGCGTCTTGACCTGGAGCGTGGGCAGCCAGTGGATCCGCGGATGCGGGCAAACATTCACCTCGAACGACAAACACCCCGCAGAGTGCCGCTGGGCGGCGCTTTGGTGGGTGGGTGACGCTGACGGCCGCAGGAGCCGTGTCAGCGGCCGGCCCAGGCAGATTATTCCTGGTCAAGCGAACAAACGGTGTCGCCTAGCAATTCAGCGGTGTAGTGCTCTGGAGCAACTAAACCAATGTCTTTGTTCCACGGCCTTCTTGCGGTTTAGGCGATAACCACCCCAATTGCTGCTGATTGTTGCCATGTGTGTGACAAGCATCCATGTACCAACTAAACTAGCGGCACGCTTGCGCTCGCGGGCACGCACATTTGCCCAGACTAGTATGACACAATTGTCCGAGTGTTGAATGGAAGCTCTGGAAAGAAACGCGTCCAGCCCCTTGTGGCGCTTGTAGGGAAATCAAGAAATCCTCAAAAATATGTTGGCCTCAGGCAAGGCTCTCACTGGACTGATCTGCTTCGCTGGCATCGTCCACTTCCGGCCTGAGTGTCCGGAGGTTATCTTTTGGTGGTTCTGCCTGGGCAGTTGGAGCAATCTCCTCATAACTGGTCCAAAGGAGATGGTGGCACCAAAGAAGATGGTCCAAGCTGCGAAATGGCTCCAAACAGCCAGCGTCCCGCTAGTGTGGCTTGGTTGGAATTCTTGGTTAAGCTGTGCTCACTCACTGCCTCGCATGGGCCCGCTGTGTTCACTGGCCAAAAAGAAGAAGCGGACCCAGAACCTTTGTGAGTGTTCCGTCGCAATCTCCCGTGAGGTTGCGATTTGAGTTGCCCAAGGATTTCCGGAGCCCATGTGGGTGTGGGTCAAAATGAAACCACCAGGGGACCACAGGTTTTGGTCCATGTCGCCAGACATTGGAAACTCCCATGTATTGAAGAAGCCCCTGCCAGGTGGCAATGGCGTTCTCGGCCGGGCCTGGGTGCAAGGGTCAACATGGATGACTAGCACCAAACTGACACCAGCGTGGCGTATCATGTTCAACACCTGGCACAAAAGGACACCAACGGATTGCCTGGGCCCCCTTGAAAAGGCAGGGCAGGGCATGCCGCCAGGGTCACAAAAGCGCCCATTTTAACACCAGGGGGGCACCGTGATGATTCATCCAGTTCTACTTCCTGCCCCATGACCTGCCTGGCATCCAAAAATGACGAATGTGCAGGATCGAGCTACACCGGGATGAGGGGTGTGACAAGACCAAGTCGCCCGGCAAAACTTAACAAACCCTTGAGATGGTACTCGAAGATAAAACGTCTACCTGGGGCCTGGCCGGCTTAGCATAGCAAAACTAGAACCAGCGATGCCAAGAGCTCTGATATGGGCGTGTGTTGATTTAGGGGGGCCCCAAAAAATGTGTTGCTGCCCCTCTGGTTTGCCTTCAAAACCACCCAACAAGTCCAACCACCTGCACCCACATCTGCACCAAGGTCTCGGCATGTTTTGAGGGCCGCCGCCTGGGATGCTCGTCTTCTAGGTCGTCCTGGCGAAGTGCAGCGACTCGTGTGAGGCGGACAGAACCGACGGAAAGACCAGCAACACGCCAGGACAAGTTGCTGCATTCTTGAAAGGACTGCCCTAGGGCTACAGGTTGTCCACATAGCTTGCGCTGTTTTCCTTGACTTGGACGGATCTTGGACCCAAGATAGATTCTTCCGAAGTGGAGCAGCCCCCACCTCAAAAGAGGCAACAGGTCTTGAAAGACCGCAGAGCATGACGCCCTGACGGCACTGAAAGGGACTTGGGCACGTGCAAACCCTTTTTTAATGCATCAGGCAACCACAAAAAACAACAACAAACCTCTGGAGCACAACTCGTCAAAGCACCGCTCAACCCCTGCGCCATCAAGGCTCTTTACATGCAAGCAAGTATTCCACCTCTTGTGAGCTTCCAAACCTCTTGGCAAACTCGCTGGAGAGCTTGCTGAAGGAAACTTCATTGCAGAGTTTCTGATGTTTCTCCTTAAAACATCACATGAAGCTCACTTGGCATTGGCAACCAAAAGGTAATGTTCAAAATGTGTTACACTCAAACGGGGGCCGGTAGGAACCGGATATGACAATCCCCCTATCCAGAATTCCAAAAGCACAAACAAGCTGCGTTCTGCTTATCATTCCGCTCAGATTAGTCCTTAAATATGTTTTCTTCTTTGAGGGCACGAACAGTTCATACATTTCGAGCACAAACAAACATGTCAGGGGCCCTGGAAACCACCACTCCCCGCCAGCTGTTCAGGGCTTGTTTTGCCTTGTTTTGCGCATGAACCCCTAACCAGTGGCAGGGTCCCTGAGAATAGATGATTCCGCTAGGCACTTGGACGGTCTGGGGGCTAGCTAAGTTGTTTGTAACCTTCGCTACAAGGGCTCAAAGGTGATTGGCTGGGACTGAGCTTGGGTTACGAACCACTTAGCGAAGTCTCGGACCACCCAAGTATGCGAGCCTATGGGGATGCTAAATAACACGCGCAGCCCGCGCAAAGCCCGCCTCCCAGGACTGTTCCTCCTCGTCCGCCTGGCGCGTTTGATTGTTTGATCTTTCCACCTAATGGAAGGCCTGGGCTTTCTGTCCTTGAAGGCCTCCCTGTCTTTATCAAGCCCACCAGCCCCCAAGAAACACAAAGCTCTGAGAGAGGCCGTGGAACTTGCAGCCTCTGAGTCTGAGGTAGGCCACATTGGGTCATACAAAGAGGGCAGCCAAAATGGGACACCCCTCGGGCTTATCAACCCGTGGGCTCCGAATTGGTCCCCAATGTAGCTCTCAAACTCCGAGGGTTGGCTTACAGGAAAAATATCACAGGAAAACAGCTCGTTTCGTTTAGTTCTGGGGCCATTTCCTGTAGATGTTTTTGTTGTAAAATGGAACCCTTTGACAAATTTGACAAATGAAAAGGACAAGCCATCTTACGGACGGCGGAGCTTTTTAACCCCTGCCTCCAGGTCGTCCAGGCCGCGACGCACATGGCGCACCGGCTCCGGAAGCTTCACGTCGTCCTCCGTGTCCCAGGCGTCCAGGTCCTGAACCCGCTTGGAGGTTCAATCCGCTTAGCAAGTAGGGTGTACCAAGTAGGTAAAACAACAGCAGCAATCCTCCAAAACACAAAACACAAAACAGAAAAAAGAAATGGAGTTCGTCCCACGGGCGGCTGTAGGCGGTGGTCCAACTACTGATTATACTTGAGATTACCAGGGTTATTCTCCTAACCATGGTTTGCAACCCACTTGCTAAGTGGATTGAACATCCAGGAACCTGATGTGCCATCGCAGCAGACCGTGCATGGAATCCGGGCCAGCACGCCCCAACCTACCAAAATGTGGTCGGCACACACAACGTCTCTGCATGTGACTTGCAGCAACGGCTGTCAAAGCTGACCCTCTCAAATGGCGGAGCTTCCATGTGCCCCCCAAGAGGGTTCTCACTGTGACATGTTCCTACAACGGAAGCAGCCCCCACCTGACTTTGACGCTGATCATCCTCAGGTGCAGGTGCCAGCTTCTCTTCGTCTCTGTCGTCGTCGACCTCCTCCTCATAGCGCGGCCTTCGGGCCGCGTGCTTCTTGTGGTGATGGTGGCGCACCTGACCAAAGGGAAAGCGCGGCGCGGGCGCGCCAAGGAGGATACCTCCACTTGTGGTGCAGTCAGCTGGGCTCACCTCCGAGTACCCCTTGCTCAATGGGAAACTGGGAAAGGACTGGGGGAGGGTGCTCAAGAATAAGAGCTCTTGTTACAGAAGCCCCCATATTCCAATCTTAAAAGGCCCGACCTGTGAATGCTACCAGCCCTTTTTTTGGGCAGCCGCCCGGGCGCTTCCAGAAAGGGGGAAGCTCGCCTCTGGCTCTGGATGCGGCTCTGCGCGGTGGTGGTGCTGATGATGGTGCCTCAGCCAGCTCCGTCAAGCTCCCGTGATGAAAAAAACACGGCGCGCGGCCTTGCGCGGGGAGCCTTGCAGGGAAGCTGTCTTCATGCTGGCGAGATTCCCCTTGCCGCTTCGCGCCATTCTGCCTTGGCAACAGAAGTCTCAACAAAATGCTGTAGGCTCTCCTGGTCCCGCGCGAATCGCAAGGGTGCCAAAAACAAAACCCGAACTGATCGGTTGGACACATCCGGCCACCAGCAGGCAGCATCCATCCTCTGAGCCCCTGGCCAGCGGCTCTGGCCTCAGCGAACATATGGCGCGTATCTTCTGTGCAAACGAAGAAGCAAACAACTCATGCGGCCTTTGTGTCCAAAGATATGCGCTGGAAGTTGAGACCACCAGTTCCTGGTAGATCAACATCCGGGGGGTTCTCTCTGTCTCTCTCTCTCTCTCTCTCTCTCTCTCCCTCCCTCTCGGGGTATCCTCCCAAAGCGCCTGTTCCAAGACTCCGCCCACCGCACAACTCAAATGCCAACATGAGCCCCGGGCGGCAAGCAATCTGGGGAAAAAAGCCCGCGCCAACTTTGAAAGGAGTTGTTGATCTTACTTCATGAAGCGATCCATGAAGCCCTTACCGGGGCTCTTGAAACAATGGGAGAAGTGGCCCCAAGACTCTCTTCCTCTCAGCCCAGCTACTGTGTGTGCGACCTCTAGGAGGGAGGCGGGCAACTGGGAGTCCTGGTGGCCGCGTGACGCTCCCACGAGCCATTCGGGCAATCATGGTGCTCATCAAAACGGTGGCTGATCTGATCTTTCCATGCGTGCGCCTGTTCATTTAGATCATTTTGATCAAAAGCTACAAGCGTTTGCCACCCGCTGATTAACACCTTGAATTTTGCCACGCATGCGCACAACCTGAGCCTCAATCAGCAGTGTTGGCCCCCTTGGTTAAGAAAGAACAACAACCAAAAAAAAAAAAACAACAAGAATGGCTTCTCTGAGAATGTGCCTTTTCCACCTGCGCGACGTCGCCACATTGTGAGCTGCCTCTC